AGGACAGGGTCCGCAGCTTAGGAGTGCTCCTTGACCCGGACCTTTCCTTGAAAGCCCAGGTGATGGCGGTGGCGAGGAGCGCTTTCCTTCAGCTTCGGCTAATCTATCAGTCGCATCCTTATCTGGAGGAGAACTGCCTAACAACAGTGACACATACATTGGTTACTTCCTGTTTGGATTACTGTAACGCGCTCTACGTGGGGCTGCCCTTGAAGACAGTCCGGATACTTCAGATGGTGCAAAACAGAGCTGCCAGGATGCTGTTGGAGATTGGGCATTATGCTCATATAACCCCAGTCCTCTATCAGCTCCATTGGCTTCCCATCGAAGTCCGGGCTCAGTTTAAGGTGCTGGTTATTACCTATAAAGCCCTAAAAGGCTTGGGACCAGGATACCTAGAGGAACACCTTTTTCCCTACATGCCCTCCCGCCCCCTAAGATCAGCAGCAGAGGCCCTCCTCCAAGAACCCTCTTTGAAAGAGGTCAGGAGACAGAGTACTCGGAGGAGGGCCTTCTCTATGGTGGCGCCCCAACTATGGAATGCACTCCCCAGAGAGGTCTGCCTGGTGCCATCATTATATGTTTTTTGGCACCAGGTCAAGACCTTTTTATTTGGCCAATATTTTAATACATAGTAATTTTAATTGTGTAATGACTTATTTAATTTATTTTAAATAAAGCTCAGTGTGGAATAGTTAACTTATCTTATTGAAGACTGAAATAATGTTGTAAGCCGTTCAGAGATGACAGTAATGGACGGCCTACAATTTTTTTAAATAAATAAGTAAAATAAATAAGTATCTGCAATGAACTTAAGGCAGGCATGTAGCATCATGCCCATGGTACCTATTTCAGACTTCCACACACTGACTGTATCTCTGTGCATCATCTGGCCACTTGTGCCCACTAATTAATATATAAGAAATGTATATTCTTAAGTAAACTTACAACCTACATCCTTGCTCAAGTGCTTACCTTAGTTTATACTCTTAAACTGAAATGAAAACAAGCCATTATCTCCAGTGGGCTTCAAGTACATATACATTTTTTAAAAATAACTGCTTTAAGTGAAAAGTAAGAAACCTCTCTGTGTTCCTCCTTAAAAAGAAACTTAGCTGGTCTTCTGGTTATACTTGCTCTGCTTTTTGATTATTGCTCTTTTAATCTTCCTGTTTCCCCTTCCCAGTGTCTACCTCTCCAAATTATCTGAATATAGCTGTGAGGCACAACTTCAATTTTTTAAAATTTCACCTTGAAAGAATAAGCAGGGTGGATCTACAAATAAAACAGTGTGTATTCTTTAAAAATTGAGAGATGAAACATTCTGTGGCAGCTTCCCCAACCTGTGGCTTCCAAATATTTTAGGTTACAACTCCATCTTAAGAAAGTTACAGAAAAATGAGAAAGGGTCCAGAGGACATCAAAAATGATCCAGGGTTTGGAAAAATTGCCCTATGAGGAGAGACTGAGAGAACCAGGCATGTTCACCTCAGGAAGAGAAGACTTAGTTGGGGACATGACATCACTTTATTAGTACCTCAAAGGATGTTACAAAGAGGAAGGTCATGATCCCTTCTCACTTATACCAGAGTGCAGGACACCGAATAATCAACTCAAGTTGCAACAACCCAGATTCAGGCTAGATACCAGGAAAAGGTTCACTGTAGGAGCAATATGACAGTAGAATCAGATGTCTAAAGAGGTCATGGGCTCTCCCACACTAGAGATATTCAAAAAGAAACTGGACAGCCATCTGAATGGGATGTAATTGGTGTCCTGCAACAGCAGGGGGTTGGACCAGATTGCCTTCATGGCCCCTTCCAACTCTATTATTCCATGATTCTATTCACCCCCAGGTAGCATACCTAATTGGAATCCAGCACATTTGGCTGGCCACAGGGTTGAGGATACTGATTCTATGGGCAGAGAAATCCAAGGGAAGTGAGAGACAGAGAATCAGTGATGGATATACGAGCATTTCCTATACCCTGCACAGCTTAGCAGAGCAGAAAGTGTTGGACTATTTTTTAAAATTTGTTTTTGGTCTTTTGCAGCTATTTTTTTAAAAATGGTCATAAACTCTACAGTACCAGGGGTAGCATAGTTTCCACCCCATTCCAAGCTTGCAGTGGGGATGGGAGTATTTCAGATCACAGGGCAACACCATGGACCTTCCCATCACTGTAATGCAAGCCATCTGCCCACCGGTTGTTTTCCACATGAAACATTTATTCATTGAGCAGTGTTGTGCTGAGGCCAGGAAAACCATTTCTATAATTATCATTCATTACTGCATCCATTATCTATTCCTGTTACAAAGTGTATTGCTTTTTCATTCCAGAATTGTGAGTTTCGTTATGGTTGTACTTATTTCTCTGTTGTGCTATGCTACTGTACATACTTTTAATGACCAAATATCAGCCACAAAAAAATTGAGGAGACCTTGCCACAATATAGCAGGGTGCTATTTTTCTTGATAAACACTCTGAAAACTTAGATGGTCTTAGGTCACCTTGCATTTTATTTTGTGAAAGGTGTATTATCATTATTATTATTATTATTCATCACCACAGTTACCATTATTTCCCTGTCCATCTTACAGTATGATAGAGGTGCTGGGCTCCATATCTATGAGCAGAACTGCCATCCATGAAGGATCAGAGCTCAAGTCAAGACAGGACTTGACAAGACCCATGAAAGGCTAGGGTCAGTTTTAATCTCCTTGCAGTAAAATGTAGTACCAGAAGTAAATCAGTTCTAGCCCCGCCTTCTCTGCTCACTCCCCACTTGCGCATACGCGCGCACACACACACACACACACACACACATTTAAACAGGACCATTCAAATTGTGATCACCCCCTGGAGGGTACCACCAATCCACCCCCTTATCTCTTCTTGCTCTGTAGGGCTCTTCTCCATGGGTGAAGATGGCGTCACCCTTGTTGTCTAAGAGTTAAAGTACATCCCTACTATCTGTACATTCATGATGAAAGGGCTCCATGCAATTGGGAACACAGCTTTTCTTTGTAGTATTCCTAATTATGCAGAGCCATGCATAAGCTTAGATGCTGATGCACATTAGAAACTTGTGTTTCAATGCATGGATTTGGGGCTGGAACCTGATGCTGTCCATGTGTTTGTTGTGTGTGAAAAAAAGAGTCCTAAGAGCTGAAAAGGGTTGCCATTGTAAACTCATTGTGCTATACAGGTAGACCAGACATCAGAAATGATTGTTTGTAGCGAGAGGAAATGGAACAAATGGCAGCCGTGGAGCTGGGAAGACAGATGGGCCAGGAGGGTGGCAGACTGAAAGCTGAAGGTATTGATGACAAAGCCAGATCAATGCCAAACCATTTAATTTTTTGGTATGTTAAAATGAACTGTATTTGAGCTATTGTAGTTGTGGCTTTTGTTTCATTCTGTAATCTGCTTTGAACACAACCTATTAAAAGAAATGGATAATGACTACTATGATTAGGTTGGGAAGAACCAACACGTGGATGTTCTAGCCTTTCCTCCCCTGTGTTCCTGAAAATCTGCCCCGGAGAATATGGATTCTGAGGGTGTGAGAGAGCTGCAGTGCAAAGGAAGAATCTCCTTGCTACTTCATTGACAGCAACCAGTCCATTAGTAAGGAGGATGATCTGGATATTATCCTTTCTACTTAAGAATATGCCAACAGATTAATTATCTTTGGATCAAGGAGCTGGTCTACATAGTCAGCAAATTCATCACAGAGGCTTTTCTCAACTGCACAAATTCTAAAATGCCATGGATAACTTGTAATAGCATCTCAAAGACAAACTTACAGTTATAATTCCTTTTTACAGGGAAAACTTCAGGAGTTTGAGGGAAATTGTTTAGCATTTGATGTTAACTGAAGTGGTAGTTCTGCTTTAATCAATATATGTTTTCATGCAAACTCTGATTTTATCCGAATAGTTCCACATTATTAGATTAAGATCCAAAAATCCAGTAAGGCTCATCCAGTAAGGCTTCTGGAGACATTTGTTTCTCAAAGGGAGCCATGTTGGAGCTAAGAACCAATGCCAAGAACATGGAGAAATTTTCTGAGCTGCCTTTGATGTAAAGCAAAACCTGCCATTGGGAGAAAAATTCATGGAAAACTGCACATGAAGAAATATTTGTGTATCCAAAGGGTATCCCAGCATTAAGCTAATAGGTGAACATTCTAATGCATGCCTTCCATGGTGGATCTGTTCTAACATGTGTATATGCGATTAAAAATAATATCTGTGTGCCAGTATATGGGAAAAGACACAGATTTTGGAATCAATCCTGGGCATTTCTGAGAATTTTTTCCGGATGTTGATCCGGATGCTCCGGAATGAATCCGAGTGTTGTGCAGGATCCATGACAAAGACAAAATGGCTGGTCCAGGTTTGCCACTCTATGAATGGAATGCTGGACTGGATGGACCATTTGTCTGACCCAACATAGCTTTTCTGTACTTCAGTTCCTAAATAAAATACCAGCATTTCAATCTTTTAAAATGAGTAAATACAGAAAAGTCAGGAAAGTACTAGAATATAAGTGATTAGGGGAGAGGGAATGGGAACCGGGCACTGTGGGAAACTGCAGGTCAATTTGCATGTGCGTGTGCATACATGCACACACACACACACACGCACGCACGCACGCACGCACACCTGGTTCTATCTTCCTGACAGAGAAAGTTAATAACTTGTACTGTCTGCCCACATATTGGAGAGATTGTTGCCATTAAAATGTGTAGGTTTGTATGTCATAGTACAACCCACGGCACACCCAACAGATGATTGGGCCCAAAAACTGTGAATTTAAAAAGTATAGTTTCAATGGTTCTTCATAAACGTGCAAGTGCACACTTTCTAGTCTCCAGAAAAACACATGTATAAATACGTTCTGTATATGTCATCATCACAACCTGCAGATGAATAATCTTTAGAACATCTCAAAGTCGATAGAGAAAAATGAGAAAGCAATATTGTAGCTTACTTTTAGCTGCACCAAATGCACATCCACATGTTTGCTGTCTGAATCTTGCTGCACGGAGTAAGTCAGGTCCCTGACCCGTTCGGATGTCATCCGAAGCCATGTTTCGATCTCAGGCAAGTGGAGAACGATCTTCCAGTCTGCTCCTGTGTGGAGTGGAGGAGGCTTCTCATACTGCTGCCCAGGATCAAGCTCTTTCAGAGCATCTTCACTGTCATCTTGCTCAGTGGTGGGGGTCATGTTGATGATCATGGGAGAGGCATCAGCAGCTGCAGGATCCATTTCCTGAGGCCTGATGGGGGAAAGTGCGATTTCCATGGCTAACATCGGGGGTTCTAGACCATAATTCTTTCCAAATATGCTGCACATGTGAAAGAGGAGAAAAGGAATAGTTTAAAAGCAAAATCTTAGGTTAAAGCATCCCTGCCCACACCAAAGCCACACCAAACTGGCTCACTAATTATTTATCCCATTGCATTAGCTGCTTATGCAAACCAGAATTCTCCCTTGAGGTAGGTCATATACCTTCTCTACTAACAATGAGATCAAAACCCTTCATAAATTCAATTCTAAGTAAACTGTAATCTGGACTAAGTAGATTTGCATAATTTATTTTACTTCTGCTGGCCTGGATGAAAGGCAAGGAATTTTGAAGGCAATAAAGCCATGCTTCTGACCATGAAAAATCTTGCCAGCATTCCGCTCACCAGCCATGCAATCATGCCAGCCATTGCAGACACATTTTGATTATCTTCACAGTCATAAGAGCTAGAAATTTGCAGAGGAAGGTTTGAGTGAATGAAAGCCGAGATTTCATTGAAACCTGAGCACGGGTTGGATTCCAAAAATGTTTGCAGGGAGGTGTTTGGTAACATAAAAGCTAGGGAATTCAAAACACCAAAACAGAAATAATGGTATAATTGTAGCTTATTGTCCCATTCCAAAGAATCAGACTGTTGCTCAGTGGCTGAGAACACATGAAGAGCCCTACTGGATCGGCTCAAAGACCAGCTTCATTCAATGGCCAACCTGACGTATACACTTGGCATGCCAACATCCCAGCCTTTTTGACCACTCTCACTTGGGCACAGTGTTGGGGAGGACCCAAAATCCCAGAGAATCTCTTCAGGTCTGAGTGTAGACTGATCTGGTACAGTACAACCTCCTATATTTTGGTCAATACAACATCTGCAGTGATGGCTTCAAGTTAACAAGCAAATGTTATGACTGCCATTTACTTTGAACAGAGTGCTTTGATTCATTTACTGTTTTTATCAGTTTAGGTATTATCACTATTAAAAATAGTTAATAACATCCTGGGATATACTGCTATTCTCCACTTTCTAAATTGGCAAAACTCCTAAGTACATTCACTCTAAGGTGTTTTCTTTTGTTTTGCTTTTGTCTTGTATTCCTACTACAGACAACCATTTAAAGCCAAAGGCCATTAGATGTTGGAGAAATAGCTAATTGCTGATTCTTGTAGCTCTATGTTGTGTGCTCATTTGTAATACTTTAAAAGTGTTTTAAGCATGAGAATGTACCACTCTCCAAATGCAATCAACCTTAGCACAACAGCAAAATCCATATGAAAATAGAGCCATTTGATAAATCAGATGATGAAAAAATAAAGAAGGACAAGTAGTCCAGAAAAATATAAAGAAGGGGCTGCGACATCTGTACCAACTTATACTCCTATTCAGGCATTACTGTCAGAAGCTGTAGTGGCAGGTCTGCACACACGGCATTCCTGCCAATGCTCATGTGTGTGCTTGCCCAGTGCCCACCTTCCAGCATTCAACAGGAAGTTTTGATGAGGGGTCCTGAATATAATCATCTGCATATGCCTAGAATCAACAGCTCTGAATTATCTGAGTTCCCAATGGCATGGAGAATTCTGCGGTCAAATGCACTCAGAATCCCCTTTCAGAACTTACCACTCAACATGGTCAGAAATTGAGCCAGCATTTGTGTGGCATGGAGTAAGGCTGTTGTCATACCTGCATAGCATATATTTTAATCGCATGCAAATTCACATTTGCATCACTAAACCAAATTTGGGGTTGCCAAATCCTCATAAAGTTAATTTGATAAATATTGAAACAAAGCACATGTTTACCCAAGTTTCTTTGTTATTTTTGTAAGCCATCTTGAAGTATATGAGGAACTGATAGATGTGTGTGTGTGTGTGTGTGTGTGTGTGTGTGTAATTCCCATAAATGTATCTCTAGATCTACTACATGGGAGATGTGTTTTAATTGATCCCAATAACAAATGAATGGCCATACCAGTTAAAAGAAAAGGTTATAAATGAAGTCTTCCATGTCCCCATTCAAAGGCAACACGCAATATCCTGGTCACAGATAAGTGATCAGGAGTGAGGATGGAAAAGCCTTGGGGTGATGATCAGTGCTACTGCTTTGTCCTTAAAAAGGGGAAATAAATCTATGCTTCCGCCCTGGAGAGGGAAGAGCACAGCTATCAAGAACTAAAGAAAATATAGCCAAGAAGGAACAGTTTGTTGAGGCTTTGCTAGGAAGGGGAGCAGTCTTGCTTTACTCAGAAGGCTGGCATGTGCACACACACAGGCTAGAAGAGGAATCCCATGCAAGCTTCCAGAATGAGTGTGTGTGTGTGTGTGTGTGTGTGTGCGCGCGCTTGTCGCCCTTCATGTGACAAGTTCTACTATACAGTATTCAGCATTTACACAGCCATGTTCCAGCAGTCTTTGCTCCATATAGTATAAAATATAATGGCCCATACTAGAAAAATATGAGTTCATCATAACAGAAGGTGAACCTTCTGTTCATATAAGGACATCTTTATTGCATTTAAAACTGGTACTTGGGAAACCCCTAATATAATATTCATACAGCAATACAATTCAATATATATAAATATTTTGTACTCTACAATTGCAATCGTAAACCATGTGATTAAGAGTAGGTCCCCCTGAAATCAGCAAGACTTACATCTGGTACTTTTGCAGGGGACTGGATTTGAAACCAAAAAAATCGGGTTTTTTTGCAATTGTTATTTTCACCCAGTACGATTTTGATGAAGAGTAACAGTAAGTCATTCTCTTCAGCATATTCATAGCAGTTTTGCATTCTAAAAGCAGTAGATCTTGATGAGGCCCATGAAATTTGCTCCTGCCAACTTGAGCATAGCTCCCAGGCAAACTAATTATTCCCCACTGATCAATATCTAGCAAATACCAAGGAAGCAGTACACACAAGTGCCCAGTAGCTGTTCTACTTAAAATCAACTCCTTGCAAACCCTCCAAGGCTCTCTCATTGCTAATGTGCAAGACAAGTAGTAGCACCAACAAGCTGGTACTAACACGCATTTTCAGAGCATGTTTCTGTACCAATAAGTTCAACAAACCCTCCCAGGTTCAGTGCAGGAGGTGGCAGATGTAATTGTGAAGCAGGGAGGGAGTCTTTTGCTTCTCATCAGCCTTGGTAATTAGTGACCTGCTTTCTCTTCTCACACTGTCGAGTCTGCACAGTGCTTTCCCCTTGCAACCAACACTGCCACTGTGTTATATTGGCAACTATTAAAATAAAGACAAATCCTTTCTACTTATATCCAAAGAAAACCACAGTAAATCACTGCCAAGTATACGGCCTCCACGCCTCCCCTCCCTCCACACACATACACAAATCAAGAAGATCGGAACAGCGTATTTCTATCTTGTCAAATTTCCTACATGCACAATTAAAACAGAGCAGGGCTTTCTAACTCAGACCTCTCTAGCTGTTTCTATGAAGCACATGCTTGCTTGAAAGACTATGTTGTTGCATGTAGAAATGACTGAATAATTACACCCAATTCTTATGTGGGTGCCAAAACAGCACCAAAAGCTGCCCTAGTCCAGCTACTTAAAGTACAAAAGGAAAATGAGGCTCTCACACACATTCCTGAGGGAACTGGCATCATCAGAGGGTGTCCTCCCCGTATTGTCACGCTTCATACTAATCTTAGGGAAGCCAGGCCCCTCCTCCTTGTCCTTCTCTCCGTCCACTCACGTTCTGCTTGGCAGAATAAGGCAGAGCATCCTGTCATCTCTGCACCAACCTATAAAATCATCCTGGTAAGCGAGGGCAAATATGAGCCTGATTCATGGACACTTCTTGGAATGAAAAGCAGCCAGTGTCTTGCTGAGCGCAATATTGCTCCATTCCAAGCAGAGAAAGCATGAACACATTATCAAAGCCTTTAAAGAAAGAATAAGACTGGCTTGCAAATGGAGCTCCTAAATCCTGAGGCGGAGCAAGGCAGAGTGTGTTTGACCAAAGCAACAAAGCGTTCCAGCTGCTGCGTGCCCTAATAAACTAAACAAGCACTCAACGGGATAATTCAGTCATTTCTGGTATCTTCCTAATGCTGTTATTTCCTGCAGCTAAATGGATTTAAGTATCCATACCGCTTTGCAGAAAGAAGGCTAAATCACACTGGTTCACCTTTTGTCCAAGTCATAAAAAGCAGCTCTGTAAATTGAGCTGTTGTGATTGTTGGTTTGATAATTCTTATTCCACCTTTTAGAAATTTTTCCCACAAGGAAGCTTGCAAAATAGATAAACTTAACCCCTTAGGATAATATATTTTTTTAAAGTTTAATCACAATGCACCAGCACAAGAAAATCAAACAGCAGCCGGCAGCAACATTAAACCAGCATTGTGACCAGTATCAGTTCAAGTAAAACCCTTAAAATTATGAAGAGGCATCAGCAAACAAACAGGTTTTCAATATTCCCTTAAAGGCTGATAGTGAAGCAGCCTGTTGGTATTTATATACATCAGTTGCAAGAACTTGCTAAGACTACCTTTGATGGGAAGTATACATAGTATAAAAACATGGCATCTCAAAAACCCAACTTAGAAAAACAGAAAACAAACCTACTGCACAATTTTAATAGATGCACTTTATACCTTACATCCTAATGCTTCAGCTTTCAGAATCCATCATAGATTTATATGTGCAGCACTGGTCCACTTCATGAGTCATAGAAATCAGCAGATAAATACAGGATTGGAGCCTAACGCCTGAGGCAGCTGTTCCATGCTGCTATGGAGATACCCAATCCCCACACACAGCTCGGCTGCTGCACCAGCTTTCGTAGAGCTGCTTGAAGAGAGGGCATCCACACAACTGGAGACTGAGGCACGCCACCCACAAATAGCATGCCCGAAATAGTTGGGCAAATGGCTCCGTGATGCTTTCTCTTGTGTATCGCACTCTCACAAACATAAATCCTTTTCACTGGTGCAACACTGCAAATAGCAGCTTCATCTGTGAATTTTTCTCCTAATTTTCTGTACAGCTAGACATTAAATGTGAGTCCGCAGGGCTCCGGATTGTGCTGAGGCACAGGTGGTTGTGGAAAGAAATAGAAGGTGGTCTGGTGAGCTTTCCCTGACCCAAGTGGAGGCGAGGTGGGTGGAGCCAGGCAGAATTGCCACTCCCCAACTCAAGGAGGCATTAATTACCTCCCTGGTCCAGCTGGTTGTACCTTCTTTGCTGCATTTTATAAGACAGGAGGTGCAAGGATCCAGTACAAAGGTGGTTGTACAAACCTGTCCAAGCTCCTTGTCAACATCCGCGAGCTCTTTCAACTGAAACTCATCCAGTAAAATTGGACCAGGTTGCTTTAACTCTGAAATCTAAGTCCACTTTTCCTGGAAGTGCCTAGCAAAGAAATGACAATGGGGCTCAGATGGTTATAAACATGGATTACTCTGAAAACCTCCCCTGAGCAGCAACAGAAGTCTGACCAGGGTTAGTGAGCTGTTGCTTCTTTGCTGCCCGCAGTGCCTCTAAGCATGCCTGGCTGTAGGCGCATAGCAGGCTTCGACTGAATCCAGTTGGGTTTTACTCTGTCTGCCCTCAGGCTGTCTCCCATGTTGTTTCATCTCTCCTAGCGCTGGGGTGTACCATGGAGCTGTGTGAACTCTACTCAAGGAGGGCTCTCAGGAGTGATTGTGCCAACTGTCCAGGTCATCTCTGTGTTCTACAACTCCAGCAGGGCTTTGATAGGACTGCCAGCCATGTCAGCCAGATTCCAACCACCAGATTCCACCCCTGCAAGCACTCTGGAAACCATCCAGATCCATTAGCCTAAGGGGGTGTGGGGTGAACCATCTTGATTCGTCCTCTGAAGAGAGGAAAAGATGCCATCAGTTTGAATTAGCAAGAAGTGATCTGATCAGAACAAAGGTGTTCGATCAAAGCCCCCCCCCCCCACACTCAGAGCCCCATTCTCATATCTACTTCCTCCCCCCGCTCCAAATGTAGCCTAGAGTATGGAAGGCATGCCATGAGTGGAGCTGGCTGGAGACAGGGGTCAGACTAGATGACCCAGGAGATCCCTTCAGACTTGCTCTGTTTCTATGTTGTTTCTATGCCCAGCTACATGTGTTGGACTGAAAGCATGTTGAGACAGTCCTGTGGTTATCATGGTGTCCATGAAATCCTGAGCCACCTCAGACAAAATGACTTCAGCCTAAATTCTGAAGTCCCCCAGAGCCAACAGCATGGGGGACTCCAATATCAGGTCCAATATTGGGTCTTCCATCCACTCAGGTAGAGAGACTGATGGATGGGCAGCACACCAGCAAAATCCCCAGCCTGACCTGCTGGCCCAACACAAGACGCAAACACCTCAGGACAGCAGTCAGGCAGATGGGGTGTCTGGAGGGAGAGAATGTCATGCTCCAAGTTTTCCTCCATGCATTCAAGGCAACAGTCCATATCTTTGCAGAAAGCTCTTCATTCGCTAAAGGATGCCCAATAAATTCAATCACCAGAATGTATCTCTAAGCATACATAGTAAGCTTGGGCTCTTTGGAAGGGCCAATTTGGAAGCCTCTTTCTATGCCCCGTCCTCTCCCAGGTCCCCACCCAGCACCTGTGCTTCATGGCTCTTCTCGGGACCTGCCTGAGCACTTGAGGAGAGTGGCCTTTTGATAAGCACCGCTTCCTTCATCTCCAAGGCCGGAGGCCCACTTTCCCTCTGCCTCCTCTCCTTCATTTTCTGTTTCGCCATCCAGCTCAATGTGACCCATGAGTGCACACCAAGAAAACAGCCATTGTCATCCCCAACATGCTGAATTCTTATAATCCACAGCAACTCCCCACCCTGACCCTCAAGTCCACCCTGATGCTGAACCAACTACCCCAGTAGGCACAACTGGGAGAGACTAACTCCAATCCCAGATCGCAGATCTCAGTGCCTCCTGCCAGGACAGTTGCCTCACCCAGTATTAAATCATGGACGAAGGAGCTCTTATTTTGCACTGATCTGCCATTTCAAAGCAGCATCCAGAGGCCTGAGGAAAGGCTGCCAGGGCAACCATCAAACTTGCAGGGACAAGCAGGACTAGAACATGGCACAGCCATTAGCTGCCTGGGCTGCATCCCCTTACCTTGCTCCTGACACCGTATCTCCCTCTATTGTCACTACACTGACTGGGAGCCCCATGGTCTCTCAGGCATGTTCCCAGGTATTTACAGGCCACTCACACTCTTAGCAGGTACAAACCAAGGAGCAAAGTGAGGGAAAGTAAGAGGTGCCCTCACTCTTGTGGCATCCCAGAGGGGCCAACCAAAGGGGGACACCCCAACATGGCCCTGCTTTATGTCCCAGGAGGCTGCCAAGGGGTAAGCCCACCCCGCACTCAAACAGTCCCTTTCACAGGACTCCCAATGCCTTGTCACCCGTCTCCAGGGTGTGGCGCATCAGGGCAGGATCATGTCAGAACTGGTGCATGTCAGACAAAACAGCATGAAGCATGTTTAGGCAGCGGGAGAGAGAATGGAAACGGAGCAGTGCTGTGCCCACTGGATATCACGAATACGAATCAGCTCTGAGTTTCCCTCCCCTTCATTGTCACATATTGTAAAAATAAGCCTAAAGCACAATGTCACCAGCTGTCAATCATGAAAACAATTCCTCTTCATTTCCAAGCTCGTTAAAACAAAATAAAGGCTGAAAAGGGGGATTTTTATTAAATAGGTTATCTTGCTGAATTTCAAATCAGATTATGGGATAACTTGATGCCAGGGAGAAACATCTTTGTCCTGATTCATTTGCTGTGTAACAAAACTGCTCCTTTCTAAAACAAGGCAAGTTCACAGGAAACAAGAAGCCACACAATGGAGAAAGCTACGCAGCATGGCTTACTTGCTCCATGCCTGTGACAGACACAGACAGGCCTGACAGACACTGGGCACAGCAGGGCAGTTGCTCTCCTTGCCCCAGTTCTCCCTGAGGTCCTTCTGACCTTGTGGGAGCACCAAAGAAAGCAGTGGGGGTGTCAGTTGATGAAGTGAGCCCAAGTCCAGCCCAGGGCAGCTTCTTTCCCTCCCTGCTTGCAGGGCAAAGCTGCTGCTCAGTTTCAGTTATGCCCAGCAAGGGGAACGGAGATGAGAGGATCCCGCCTGCTTCTCTGCCCCATCTGTTGGCATCGGAGGGAGTGTGTGCTCAGCTGGGTTTCCCCCAGCTTGAACCACGACCGTGCCTGCCCTGCAGTTGGGGCTGCAGGCAGGAGGAGAGGGGCCATGGGTGGCTGGCTTTCTACTGGAGGAGACTAGCTGAATGCACCCCCCCCCCCAAGTCTCAGCTCCCACAAGTGCCATTGCAAGCAAAGATAGGGAGGTGAGCTGCATCCTGGTGGGTCTCCTTGGGAGGAGGCAGAGGAGGACAAGCCTGGCCAGAGGGAGTGAGGGGGCAGGTGGGCACGAGCTGATGTTTGCTGTGCACTGGCACCTCAAGCAGGACCACAGCTGCCAGGGTCATAAGCACTGAGAAGGACTTGGGCAGGTGGCATGCAGGTGGCAGTTTTGCAAAGTGCCACTTGGGTGGCTGTCTTTGCCAGTGCTCCAGAGCTGCCTGGCCAGACCAGCAAGTCTTTCTGCCACTCTGACTAAGTGGCATGCAATTTTTTTGGCGTGACCTTGGCTTAT